TGGCCAGAGACGTCGAGCCAATTGAAAAATACGAGGCGGCGAGGCGGCAGACGGAGGCTAGGCGGGTGCGTGTTGTGTGTGAGTCGAGGCTGGCGGTGTGGTGACTGTCCGAACGGCCAGAATTTAGGCGTTAATCTTTCAGATTTTGGAAAAAAAAATATTCAGGGAGTGTTTTGTGTGAGTTTGGGCTTTTCATATGAAAATTAGATTAACTATAGGGCCAATTTGTAATTTTAAAATCTTTAATTATAAATCAATATAATTAGTGATTAATTATATAATTTACTAAAAAACTAATAAATATAAAATATTGATAAATAATTTCAATAAAATGTGTATGACTATTCAATTTAATTTTTTATAAATGATATTATTAGTATTTAATATTTTTAATGATATTTTACTTTAATTATAAAGCCCAATTAATTAATTATATAATTTACTACAAAATTAATAAATATAAAATATTGATAAATAATTTCAACAATATGTGTATGATTATTAAATTTAATTTATCATAAATGTTATTATTAGTATTTAATATTTTATTATTACATTTTATATTATTTTTTATTAAAAAAATAGTATATACGTAACGAAACATATCACGCAATCTTATAATTATTAAGGTGCAGTTCGTCCAACACTATAGTGCACGGTGTTGGTATATATTGTGCATATTGAACAAACCAAACTCTTGTCCCTAAGTTAAATTGAAAATGAACGTAGTTAATTAGTTTGTTCAGTTCGATTAACCGAATTAACCAAATAATTGAAATAACTTGTTATTTATATCAAAATCATATTTGTTATGTTAATAATTTTATTTATTATTTCTATATTATTTGTGGTTGACAAAAAAAATACTGAGTTTGGTTAATTTGGATCTCAACCGTGCAATCTGACAATCGTGCTAAAGTGCAACGTCTTATTTTATGAAGTGCAATGTTTTGTTTTATAAAGTGCAATGTGTTGATGTGTAAAGTTAATTATTGTAATTTTTTGTACGTTAGCATGCATGTGTTTTGTGTGGATAAACGATGCGATTGAAATTAAGTATTATATATGGCGGAGATGTTGAGGATAATTGTTGACCGCGTTGATAAAGTGCAACGTGTTGTCTTATAAAGTGCAAAGAGTTGTTTTATAAAGTGCAACATATTGATATATAAAGTGAACTACCGTAATTTTGGTACGTTGTGTCATATGTGGATAAATAATATGATCGATTATAAAGATTATGTATATCCGCCGTTTTTTGTAGAATTACGTTGTGTGATGTTTTGGCGATAGCTGTTGACGTTAGCTGTGTGTCATATTGATAGAGTGCAACGTATTGTTTTAAAGTGCAACGTGTTATTTTATAAAGTGCATTGCGTTGATATATAAAGTGCACTTAAAAAAATGTCAATAAAACCCTAAATCCCTAATTTGAACTTAATGTGGAAATAATTTATCATTTATATTATAAAAATATATATTTAATATTTTAATATTTTTATTTAATATTTTTTTTAGTTTTTACAAAAAATATATTATATATTTATAATGTAAAAATATAGAAAAACTAATATTTTTATATATTTTTGCCAAATTGGCCCATGAACTAAATTGAAATAAAAGTAAATTTCATAAAATTTAGTTAAATTATAAATTTGACCCATTTATAATTAGTTAAAATAATGAATTTGCAAAAAAGTCCTTGACACTTATCAAATTTCCAATAGAACTCCCTGCAAGATAAGATGATTTTTCAGATATGGCCGGCCAATCCTTACTGTCTCCTACCGTCAGTTATTGTCGAAGGTTGGTTATTCCATCCGGCGCTGGCCAGCAGACGTCCGTTCACTCAAAAAAAAAAAAAAACAAAAACCCAGAAGAAATCGGAAGTGATGACGGAGGAGGACGACCGGCGGCCCAATGCTTCTTACGACTTGCAGTGAGCCTCCTTGTTGCTGTCAAAGGTGTCAGACGGCATATCCCTCCCTAACGTCATCATCTTGATGGTAGCTGAAAAAAAAAACAAAAATAAAAAAATTGAGTCGCCGCCGGCGATGAGGGAGCGGCGGCAGCGGTTCGACTGTAACTGAGCGGTGGTGCACGGTAGGCTGCCGGCGGGCAGGTCTGTGACGACCGGATATTGGCCGCTGGTTGTATGCGTATTTTGTGTGTGTGTATTTTTTGTGTGTGTGTATGTATCTGTGTGTGTGTGTGCTGTGTGTAATGAGTGTGTTGCTTGACCATGTTGACCGATACTAATGTGTGTGTGTGTCAGTATGTGTGAGAGAGAGGGGGTAAGATATGTGAGTTGTTTTTGCCATGTGGCAGAAACTAATTGGATAGAGGTGATTTGTTATTTGGCACATATTAATTTTAAAATGTGAATGTCTAAAATACCCTTAATGATAATTAAGTGCTGAATTTTTTTTGGCCACTAGATCATTTGATCTAATTGCTACAATGTATTCTTATTTCTTTCATTGAGAACCATTCTCACTGGAACCCAACCCTATATATATATATAAAAGATAATGTTTGGTTTTGAATTTTATCACTACTTAAAATAATAAATTTTACGCTCTCTGATAAATTATTTTCACTCTAGAGTTCTAATATTTATTATATTTTTTTAAAGAAAATTAACGATAATGCATTATGGTATAGCTTTAGATTATAATTTCTAATCGTCAAAAATTTTAACCTAATTCTATTTTGCGATGACTATTCGAAAACTTTTGTGTAAATTGTATCATTATTTTTTTCTTAGGGCTGTAAAACATGTCTAAAAAGACAAAATTAGCTACACTTTGGTGACCTAAAAATGACTTTTTTTTTTCTTGAAAAAATAAAAAATGACCTAAAAATGACTTTTTTTCTAACATAAATATAAAACAAAAATCCCAATGGATATTTCAATGCGTAATTTCCGTTAAAATTTTTTTATTTGATTTCAGTGAGAATTCTGACCAAAATATTTCCTTAAAATTAAATTAGTTTTTTGTTGGACTTTCCTTTGGATTGTATATTCAAACGAAAATTCCTACAACAATAAACCATTAGAATCTTCAAATTTCAACTAAAATTTCAAGGAGAGTTCAATTCCAATTGTATATTTTTAGTGTTAATTATTCCCGTTAGAATGTACGTTGAAATCTCCAACTGAAATTATCATTGGTATCCGTTTAAATTTTCACTGGAATATTTTCCCGTTAATTTTTTCTTCAATATTTTTCTAATAAATAAAGTGAGTTATCAAATTTTACTTTTTTTTTTTTCCCTGGAATAAATTTATAGTTTGGCCCTGCAGATCTTGAGGCTGCTCTTTTCATGCATGTAAAATATATTCCACAGATTTCATAGACTTCATATATAGATAACAAGTCACATGTGTGATATTGAAGAAGATTATGCTTTACTAGGATCATGATTGCTTGAAGATATTAAGATCAACACAAAATCATCCCAAAAATCTATTTCGATCGATCTTGCATTTTACATGACTTAATTTGTATGATAAAGGCGCCACGTAAACCAACGTTAAAAAGAGAGAATTTACTGCCTATATATATAGATTTGTGTAGTGAACAAAGACATAACACAAGTGAAAGCCTCTAACTTCAAGTAAAAAGACCTGAAAGTTAAGGAGCCATGAAAGCTATTACTCATGTTCCGACTTTTTATCTTCGCCCGCTTGTTTTGGTACTCTTGCTCAGCCACACATTTGCGGTCAAGAAGGTAAGCATATCTGCAGCTACACAGATGGCAATTTATTTAGATCATTGTTTTTTTCGACAAGTTTGACAAATATAAACTCTTCTTTGGACCATTCAATCAAACAACCTCTTTCAGTTTGTGTTTTCTCCCCCTATTCTTTCATTGATGTTATTTATTTTCTTTTCTTGGTCCCATTGTATTATAGTCTTATGTGGTGTACATGGGAGCTCATTCACATGGAAAAGAAGCCACACAAGCCGATTATGATAGAGTCACTCAGTCTCATCATGACTTTCTTGGGTCATTTTTGGGAAGGTACGTAAGTGAAGTTCGTGCAGAGATCATGATCAAGAGAAAAATGGAGTTGTGCATTTCAGATTTCTCATTTCCTTGATAAAAGAATTGATCCATTACTATCTTCATTCTTTCTATACAGTTCGGATAAGGCCAAAGCTGCCATTTTTTACTCTTACACTCGACACATCAATGGATTTGCTGCAACTCTCGAAGAAAATGAAGCACTTCAAATATCCAGTAAGTAGTTTTATTTATAGTTTTTATTTATTATATATACAGACTTATTGGTTGTAATAAATATGTTCAATGTATTAAATGATCATTCTCAGAGCATCCAAAAGTTATATCTGTATTCTTGAATCAAGCAAGAAAGTTACACACGACGAGATCGTGGGATTTTCTTGATCTCGAAAATGATGGAAAAATTTCGGTCGAATCTTTGTGGAGGAAGGCCAAGTTCGGTGCAGATGTCATCATCGCCAATCTCGACACGGGTTTGTTTTCTTATAACCTATCCAATGTATTATTTACTCTTTGATATGCGTATGTTTATTTCTATTTTATATTCAAGGGACGACGTATGTTCGTCATGCATATAGATGATAATAAGTATTTGTGATTGAACCAGGCGTATGGCCAGAATCGGAAAGCTTTAGCGACGATTTAATATTGGGTCCGACTCCATCACAGTGGAAAGGAATATGCCCGACTCATTGGAATACAAACTTTGAATGCAACAGGTTGTAAATTAAAAACTATAAGCCACAATTTATTAATTGATGAACACTTGGTTTGCAAAATGTTATGTTGCAAATTTCCATTCACATTTTTCTAACAACTAGGAAGATGCACGTGCTACGCACGTGATATTGTTTCTTTTTTTTACTTAAAATTATTTTATTATTAAATTTAATTTAATAGTATAATCTACTTTACTTTCCATTATTTAACAAAAAAAATGGTGAATTTTATAAGAAACAATAATAAACATATTGAATAAAAAAAATATACTATTAAATAGTATTAAACGAACTCTATGACAAATAAAATTAAATAAATAAATATTGAGTTAGAAATCCAAAATAGAGTTGATATTATTTTGTGAAATTTTAAATGCTAAAGAAATCTATGTCGTCTTTGATGTATTATTTAATGATATCGACATTATGCTGAAAATCATGACATTACTATTGTCAATATAATATAGTTTTTTTATGTCTTTCTTTTTTGTGATACTCTTAAAAAATAACTCTAATTTGATATACTATAATTGGTAATTATCATTTTTTTATTGTTGATTGTATGCTAACACACTATAGTTGAATGTTTTGTTCTCTATTATTTCAATTATACGGTTTCAAATTCAATTATATTACACTTATAATATTATATAATATTTAGATATATATTTTCTTTCTTGATATAATGACATAAGAGATATAAATATTTAAAAATATCTTTAAAGTGATATTTATTTAAAAAAAGAAAATTTACTTGATAATTATTTGGAACAATAACATCCTTGATTAATTAATGATACTCATCTATCTATATATATTGTCGTAACATTTGTTGATTGAAGGAACCTATCTATATATATTGTTCAAATTAAAATAAATTGTTGCTGCATCTCCTAACATTGTCGTGCATGCATTATCATTTTCGGATTTTCAAGAAACTATCCTAATAGTGATAATTAAATTATTTCATTTTAAATTAATTATAAAATGATGATTCTTTCATATTTACTTTTATCTTAAAATTATTTTATATATTTGTCAATATTTTTATAAAGGAAGTGATTTGAAAATTATAATTTATGGATGATTTTATAAATAAGATTGGCTAATGGATATTAATTTAAACTTAATGTACTATTTACTTTTATTTAATTTATTTTAAATACAACTATATATTTCTAACAAGTACATGAATGAGTTTTAATTATTTTATTTTATTTTTATAATTACTCTATTTTTATTTATATTACAATTAAAATAAACGGTAGATTAATTTATGTAAACTTAAATCGTATTATGCATATTGTTTTAGTGAATAATTTGAACAAAATAATTTTCTTAAGATTATATATTTTCACCTAAGAAATAATCTTTTTTTCACAAAAACACTGACTTTTTCTATATGTTAGAAGAGTTATTTTTCATTCAATCATTCTTAAACACATGCATGTTCAATATTTTTTATCATTTTTTATTTTTTTAATACAATAACCAAAAAAATCTATAGTAGAAATTAGAGATGATACTTTCATTGGTGCATTATATATTTTACACTTGTGAAATAAATTATATTTTATTTTAAAAAAAATCTTAAAAATAATCTTTTTCTTACATTGAAAAACTACATTTTCCGTAAATATTTATTCTATTTTTTATTTCTAACTTACATATTTGTTTAGATAATCTTAACGTCTTTATATCAACTAAAAGAAATTACATTATTGAATATGTAAAAAATATAATAAAAGATCATAGATAAAACAAATAATAAAGTAAAGTAGAATGAAAAATAATTGATTGAAAAAATGATTGTAACTATTAATATTTGTAACTCTCTAAAAGTTGTGGCAAAATTATATTATTTGCCTTAGAATTAGTTATAGCATATGGCATTTTTGGCAATTCAATTTTTTCAAGAAACAAATCTCCTCTTTAAGATAGTTATTTGAAAATAACCTCAATCCACTGAACAAACATGTTAAATTTATTTTGCTTAATTTTAATCAAACTAAAAAATAGGTAGATTGTTTATTACATAAAAGTTGTAATTTTACTTAAAAAAAAAAATATTGATTATGAATGTATTAACTTGTTATACATGATGTATTAAAAGTTGTAATTTTACTTAAAAAAAATATTGATTATGAATGTATTAACTTGTTATACATGATGTATACTTCAGTGGGTTTTTACTAAAATTTGAAGATGACAGTGAACATTTATGACCATTCAGTTGTAATTAATATTAAAAATATATATTAGATTGGAGTTGATAGTGATGATTTGTAACTCATCTGCCCTCATTTAATTAAAAGATTAATACATTTTGAATAGACTACAACTACAATTATCTATCACATATCAAATAATCATATGTATTACATTAAGTTGTAATTACTAATAAGTACTGGAATGATAGAAAGTCCTAAATTATAGTTCCATTTTTTAGAATTTGAAAATTATAAACTCTTCATTACATGTAATTTGTTTTATAACTATCAAGATAGATAGGAGTAAATATTTGAAGGCATAGTGATGAAAATAAACCACGGTGAAAGTAATTTTAAATAACATGTATTACAAATTAAAACTAATATTTATTATTTGGCTTGATACTTATTATTTTTTTATATATAAGACTTAAATTAATTATAATTTCACTATTTAATAACAATTTTATTTGAAAAACATTTATATGACATATAAATTAGTGGCATTCTATCTGCATCAATTTGTGATTGAACAGGACCAACATTTTAGAAGGTGATGCCCTAAAATAGAATTACGTATACTCTTGTAATAAATAAATTAATATTTGTAGATGATGAAGAATAATAGCTAGGATGAGATTAATATAAATTTTATATGCATGAAAATAATTGTATATGATGAAGAGAAATGGAAGAGTTAGACAACATATATTTATAAAAAAAAAAAATAGGTGTGTAGTTGTAATGTGATTTTAATTTAAATTTATAATATTACGTTTATATCTTTCAAGCAAAAGTTACATTTCATTTTTGTTAAGGATAGTATTGGCAATTCAAGTTTTTATTTAAATGTGGTTGGAAAAGTTACAAATCACCATTATCAATTCTAATGTAAAATCACAAATTACATTTATATCATTTAAAGTAACATTTTTTGAGGGTAGTATGGGTAATTCAAAATTTTTAAGAAATAACTCATGCTTTTAAGGTAGATATAAATAAATAAATAAATAAATTATAGATATAGATTTATTTCATCCATAAATGTGTTGATTTTTCGATGCATGAAGGAAGCTGATCGGTGCCAGAGAATTCTACGAGGCGTACAACGCGGCCGGGGGACACATCAACTCAACCTTCCGCACACCGCGCGACTATGAAGGCCACGGGACCCACACCCTATCGACAGCTGGCGGCAACTTTGTTTCTGGGGCCAACATCTTCGGCTTCGCCAATGGCACCGCCAAGGGCGGGTCACCCATGGCCCGCGTGGCAACCTACAAAGTCTGTTGGCCGCCCTTAAAAGGCAAGGGAGGTTGTTTTGATGCTGACATCATGGCAGCCTACGACATGGCCATCCATGATGGGGTCGACGTACTCTCGGTCTCCTTGGGTGGTGGTGCCATCCCCTTTTTTAAAGATGTTAATGCCATCGGGTCGTTTCACGCGGTGAGTAAAGGGATCGTGGTCGTCTTTTCGGCCGGTAATTCGGGGCCAAACCAAGGTACGGTTGTAAACATTGCGCCTTGGCAGATCACGGTTGGCGCAAGCACCATGGATCGAAAATTTCCTAGCTATTTAATATTAGGGAACAAACGATTCGAGGTAAATGTGTATCTAATTGTTGTCTCCCTTTCTATGTTTGTTTTCTTTTAAGTGAAAATTGAAAGTAAAGTAAGCAAATAGACATTTGTGCAAAGTAGTAGTTGATGTGCAGGGAGAAAGCCTTTCAGACAAATCGCTTCCAGAGGGAAAGTGGTTCGCCATAATTTATGCGCGATATGCAAATGCCTCTAGCGCAACAGCAGAACAAGCGTAAGACGCCTATCCTATAATCATTTTTTGGACAAATGAAATCAACTTTCAACTTTATTATTGGTACCCTTCGTCAACTAGTTAACTAACCAATGACTAAGTGGTAATGTAGTTGTTGAATTTTCAACAAAATTAATGGATCAAACAGAAGGAGCTAATGTTCAATTTTCCATCATTTTTTTGCTTGAGGAACAAAATTTTACTCAATTAATTTTGAAAAGGTTGAAATATGAATGAAATATGAGATAAAATGCAGGGAGTTGTGTGAACCTGAATCTCTAGATGCTAAAAAGGTGAAAGGGAAGATCTTGGTTTGTCTAAGGGGAATCACTGACAGGGTCGACAAAGGCAGGCAAGCAGCCTTAGCTGGTGCTGTGGGAATGGTTTTAGCAAACGACGAGGCCTCTGGGAATGAGATCATAGCCGATGCTCATGTCTTGCCAGCTACACATATAAGTTACAAAGATGGACTTGCTCTCTTATCTCTAATGCACAAAACAGGGTGAACTACAAAATTGCATATAGCTATTTTACACAACTTGTCTTTTCACATGCTGACATTGTCAAAAATATGACGGGAAGCAGGTTGCCCGTGGCTAGTATCACAAAACCGACAACTCTTTTAGACACAAAACCAGCACCAGTAATGGCAGCTTTTTCATCGCAAGGGCCAAATACTATTATGCAGGAAATTCTCAAGGTTTTGAGTAATACCGAACTTTGTAAATTCTTGTTAAATTAATTAATGATATTTTATGTCTTAATTAATTAATAAAATTTCTTGTTCTCAGCCGGATATCACGGCACCAGGAGTTAGTATCTTAGCCGCATATAGCGGAGCAGCTGGACCGGCAGACGAAGATTTTGACAAGCGACATGTGAAGTTCAATGTTGTATCAGGCACTTCAATGGCTTGCCCACACGTTGCTGGGGTCGTCGGCCTCTTGAAGAAGCTCTACCCAGATTGGAGTCCGGCTGCCTTTAAGTCCGCCATCATGACCACTGGTGATTACCAACATTAATTTAAGTCACAAAGCATCATGCATATTTCGAAAGAAATCACAAGGATAATCATTTGTTGTGTATCGTGTTTTTTTTTAATTTGTTTATTTTAGCAAGTACAATCGACAACACTTATCACCCAATCACCAACAACAACAACTCGAAAGCTACACCGTTAAGTTATGGAGGAGGACACATTGATCCGAATCGGGCAATGGACCCTGGACTTGTTTACGATTTACAAACAACCGATTACCTCAACTTGTTATGCGCCATTGGTTTTAACCAAGCACAGATTAAGTTGTTCTGGAACAATTCATTCACTTGTCCCAAGCAGAACATTAGCCTCACCGACTTCAATTACCCCTCGATCACAGTCCCCAACCTCGAGTGCCCAGTCATCGTGACTAGAAAGGTAAAAAATGTAGGGCCGCCAGCCGCTTACAAAGCCTTCGTTTGTAGCCCACCTGGAATATCAGTACAAATCAAGCCGAAGAAGTTGGACTTTAAAAAGATTGGGGAGGAGAAAGAATTTAAGGTTATAATACAGCCTGGAGAATATGGTTGTAACAAAGGTTATGTATTTGGAAAGCTGACATGGTCCGACGGTCTACATAACGTGACGAGTCCCATTGTTGTTAAACAGATATAGAAGAAACTCAACATTTCTGGAGATGGAGTCCACACAAGGCGTGTTCTGAAACATGCCAATCTATTGGATTTTCTTCTTTTTTTTTCCCTTTTTATATGCATGGATGAATAATATGAAGTCATGTACACGAATGGTTACATCTGCAAAAGCATGAAAACGCGTTGAATGTTTGATTTTAATTTTTTTTTTTTTTCTGTAAGTTATTCAAAATAATTTAAAACTATTTATTAATCAATTTCATCTTACTTGTCTGAACGAATACAGTGTGAGGACAGTGTGTAGGTGCTGATCATATTGTATAAAAATAATGATGAGGACACAGACAAATCGGATACTGGCCGAACAATGCCGTTCAATTGGCTTGTAATTAAACAGGCTCGGTAAATGGAAACCAAGCCCGTCCGCTTACATGGGCTAACTGGCCGGTAGTTGGATGGAAACCTGTTTTGATAGGGCTTGAAATGACATAAGCTACCGTGGGGTGGTTGTAAATCATATTAATATATCTGCTATAGTTTAGACAGTTTGGTCATTAGAATTTGGGGATTTTAACCTCCCATTGCCAACTTGAATAGCTTGAAAGTGTTGGGCAAGTCTGCACTATTGTTTTCCAATAATGGTAAAGAACATCACCAACTGAAAATGATGACGACGAAATGTTCGGTCAAACAACGTACGCGAACTACTCGATCATCGAATGATCTCAAACAAACAATTTAAATAACTAAGCAAAGTCGAGGGAATGTGTGACATAAAATAGAGACCGATTAGTGCCAATGTGTTTCAACCAGTGTTTTTAAAAGCGCATTTTAGCGCGCTACATGGCGTGAAATAGCGCATATTTGCATAAAAACGCGTCATAGCGTCTGTAATTTTGCGTAGGTCCAACAAAGCGCACGCATTTGATGACGTGGCAGGTATTTTACGCGACAGCGGACGCGATTTACGCTATACCCTAAATCACGCACGCTATTTGGGACCTTTCCAATTTTATATACATAAAATTAAAAAAAAAAGAAAGAAAACAAAATTAAAGGAAAGGAAATCACAGGCAGAATTCATTCACGAAACCCTCATTTCACTTCTCTTCATCATCTCCCTCTCGCCTCCCCACCGCAGCCTCCACCTCCACGGATCCACCAAGCCCGGCGACAGTAGGAACTCCGCCGCCTCCACGACTCCACCTCAGCCTCCTCACAAGGTTCTTCTCACATCGTCTGGTTCCTTGACTCTCGCTCTCGCCTCTCGCCCAGCTCTCGGCAGCCCCGATGTCCCTTCTCCTCCGCTCTCTGTACCCTACATCCCCTGCTCCTCGACTTTCTACTCTAAAGGTATCATTTTATTTTTCGTTTGAGATTATGAACAGATTCACAGAACTCCAAATGAAATTGGGTAGTGAATGATTTAGAATTTATTTTTTAATTGGAATGGTTATTTATTAAATTAATAGAGTGAGATATAAGGATTGATTGAGC